TAAGCTTTGATGTTTTTTCTTCCAATCACTTTTTATTCGTCTTTCTTTTTTTCTTATTTTTCAATGATTAAATTTTGCTCATATTATGAAATAGATAATAACATATTGGTAAATCAGATTCTAATCTAACATCATTTAAATGAAAGACCATGTTTCTAAATTCTTCCTTAAAATCTTCGCAACGAAGATATATTGGTATATATGAAATTGAAATGTTATTTTATTAAATAAATTTTTCTTTCGAAACCTTATATATATAATTAAAATAATTTTCACATAATTTTATATGTATTTCTTAGTGATTAGTTTCATTTTTTTTTTATTTATATAAATTGTTCGATATAATTTTTCTTATTGTTTTTTATTAACATATTTTTTCATTTATGTCATTTCAAAACAATGTATCGAATGAGAAATCTCTATTCTTTTCTAAATATTTTTATATATATTTTCAATAATTTTTTCTACATTTAAATTTATATAAGAAAATTTATATTGAATATTGAAAGATTTATAATTTTATTATTATTCAATTATGTAGTTTGGATTAAATTTTTTCCTTTTCAATGGTAACAATAAATATTATTAAGCTATCAATTTTTTTATTGTGGAAAAAACGGTATTTTATATGCATCAACTTAATAGATACATATGTACATACATATATATATACATATATATATATATATATATATATGTGTAAAAACATATTATAATATACAAGTAAAAATATTTTATTAATTTTTCAAAAATCAAGATAGTCCTTGATGCGTTTTAATTAACATTTCAATTAACATCTCATTTTATCAAAAATTATGTATTTTATTACACTCAGACATGTTTTATTACACATATATTGTATATTTTAGCTTGTAAAATATATTAAATAACAATCACAAGAAACATGATAAAAAATATAGAATGATTACTTTGCCTTCAAAAATTCAATATCAACACCAACATTAATATCATTCTTATTAGAAATCATATCATTATTTGAATTGCTTTTATATAAAGCAAAAGGAAGATATTTAAAGTAAAATTGCTTTATTTTCGTCACACTGCCGTTTTATATTATTTCTATCTGCAAACTTGATGACTATTTGAATTATTAATTTTTTTGCATATCAACTTTCATGTTTGCTTTGGCCTATAAAATAAACATTCTAAAGATTTTCCATGAATATATTATATCCTTATTAAGCTTTTCAATGAACGTACAAAGAAAAAAAATAAATACGAACCAGGAAAAGGAAGCTAGTTACTTTCTCTATTAGACAGATCCACGGCTCTGATTTAACATCCGTTTATACATATGCATTTTATTCTGAGTGTTATGCGAGCGCTTTCACGATGTAATTCGCCACTGTTACGTCTAAAAGAAAACAAACGTAAATTCGAACGTAATAGGATGAGACATCGTATAAGAAAACTGGTTATTTGTGAGACACATGTATTCGTTCTTTTTCATATTTTCGATCCATTTTACATTACGACTTTTGAATAAAATATAATATTCTGTAATATTTTTGAGAGTTTTTAAATTGCTAAGAACGAAAATAATTAATTTTCATGAAAATAAAATTAACCTAATCTAACCTATATTTTTCTTTAATTAATTCTCTTGCTAGTTTTATATGATGATAATTGCTAATTGGCTTTTATTGATAATCTAATCTAAGTCATACTTCTCTTTAATAAAAATTGATTATTTTCTCGTTTTATTTGTTTTTAGATTCTACATTTTATTCTTCAAATATGTATCATCTTCATATTTATATTTAAGTACTGAATGTGTCTACAGTAGAGAAAATCTAATATATAGGTTTATATCTATGTGAGCTATCGAAATGGGTTATTTCTATGAAAAAATGATTTATTTTTATTTTTAGCGATTGAAAATTATATATTTAAAAAAAATATTTTGCAATTTGAATACTATATTTTAATTTTAATTTTTTTTATTTTTACTAAAAATTCATTTATATTTATTTTCTATATATTATTCATTTGTTCATGCATTAACATACAATAATTTTTTTATGAATATTGTATATTGATCATATTATTAATTTACACGATAATACTCTCGCAATGGTATCGTGATTTGAATTGTTAATTCCTAACTCTTTTTAAACATATTTAAATTTATGTTAATATTCTGAATTATTTGTTCGTTTAATATCTACGTCTGTGTATCTATTAAAAGATATTCGTGTCAAAATTATAATTTTGGTTTTTGAACGGATAAAAAAAATTTTTTATCTAATAGACTCATTTTTTTGTGTTACAACATTTCTCTAATGATGTACTAGTTATTATTGTATATATTGTTTAATTTTTATATACTATTCATGTTTATTTTCAAATGATTTTTTTTCTTTTAGGTTAATAATTTTATTATAAGAAAATTATATTGTTGATGAAAAAAATTTAATTATTTTGATTTAAAATAATATTTATCAAATAGCATATTTATCATTAATTCTATTATTGTTTGATATGAAAAAAATGAAAATAAAACAAAAAAATTTTAATGCTTATTATAATTTCATAATTGGGTTAAATACAATTTTTCTGCAATAAAATTATTTTTATACGTTTAGCAATTGCTGAATAATAGTAATGAATGTGTATAAAATAGTGTACAATAAATGTTTTATTAAAAAAAATTTATATTTATGTGATAATGACATGGATTCAGAATTGTTATTAAAAATCAGTCAATGATGTTTCGAAACTTATTTTAAAAATAAGTTTGGTAATGTAAAAGAAAAAATTGAAAAAAAATGATTATCAATCGCAACGAAAATCATATTAAAGTTCAGTTGCAAAAAGTATCATTGATATTATATTAAAATTGAGGTAAGAAGTTGTATTTTCTATGAAACTATGGATTAATCAAGTTTTGCTTTTATTATTCAATCGAAGTCAGATTTTTTATCTGTGTTGTTATTTATTAAACTATGAACAAGAGAAAGTCGCAAATTTCGTAATATAAAATTTGTTTTATGTATCGTTATGTCACTAAGCATTAATTAGAATTTAAAAACATTTAAAAATTATTTATTGCTTACCTTTTCTTTATAAAAAAATGTATTTGTAGAATATGATACACAAAAATATTAGTTTAATTATTATTATTAATAAATAGCATATAACTAATATATATAATATATATATTAAAGAATATATATTATATATATATTAAAGAAATATGTATCGTGGGATCGTAAAATTTATTAAAGATTACGAACATATGCACGAAAAAAAATGTATTCTTAAATGAGATTCAAAAATCAGTTAAGATTATATAAAGTTTCTATATATTTGCAAGAGAAACAGTATTTAATTAGTATCAAAATTGTATAAATTTTTATATAAATATATATAATTGAAAAAGTTACAAAAATATAAATTAAAATACAATTAAAAACTGATTGCAAGAAGTTAAAAAAATTCAGGAAAATATAATAAAATAAAAATTAAAGAATTTATCTCTTTCTTTCATTATTGTAATTGAAAAAATATAAAATCGAAATATCGATGTTTCGTTAATATAACTTAATCGAAAGATTCTCATTTTGAGGTTAGATAGAGCTAATTTGAAATTAATGATTTTAGAAGCATTAGATATCTTCTATCTTCAAATATTGCTAAATTATGAATGTCGAAACTAGCAACGCAAACTTTGCTTATCATTTTTTTGTAAAAAAATGTATTTGTAGAATATGAATAAATAATTTGTAAAATAACGCAAACTTGTATGAACATTTTTCAAGTTGTCTTGAAGAAAACAATATTTAGTAAATACTAAAATATGTAAGAAAAATATAGTTTAAATAATATATATATCGGATTAAATATATAGGGAATTTATAATAAAAATGATATCTGTTTTAAATTAATTTTATTTGACTTATAAATATAATCTAGACTATGATATGAAAAATATATTTATTTGTTATATTACCAGGCAAATTATTATTGTAATATTATTAAAATTATTATGTTTTAATCTTTTCTTTGTTTCTTTTTTAATTCTTTTGAAATTATTATAAAAATAATAGATAATTATTTTCATATATGAATTTTATTAATTTTTACATGATAAAAATAATTAATTTTCTATATAACCTTTTTTACCAATCTTTTTTTGTAACCTTACAATATATATTTTCAAATTATATACAGTGATGTCCTCATAAATGACAATACATAACTATTCTATATTACTATTCTATATACATAACTATATTTTATTCTTAATATTTGCTTAACGAAATAATTGCTTTGGAATCAAATCAACCGTATAACTCGATTCGTTCAATTCATGCTCATTATAGTCGTCTGAATTTGCTCATAAAAATAAAACTAAGCACAAATATATATATATATATATATATAAAATGATTTTGAATTGTTAATAATAATATTATAAAGTCTAAATCATTGAACTTAAAAAATAAAATTGTTTTAATTAATTAATAATTAATAATCTCAGATATAATGAGATTCAATATCTGCGGTTTTACTTATCATATTGAAATATGTTATCTTAATAATTATCAGTAATAAGTATATCCTACAATTTAATACTAATAAAACTTTTATATTATTTTTTTTTTATATATTAATAATTTATATATTATATTTTTTTTATTTATTTTTTTTTATTCCTTTTTTTTTATTCTTTAATTAAAATTTTTTTTATTTTGTATTTTTTTCATATTAATGACGTAAACATCTTAAAAATATCAATCACGCAATAAACGCTAAAAAATATTTATTTTCAATTTATTTGACATTGCTTCGTTTTCTTCTTTTTAAAAATAAAAAAAAAATCGTTCGTTTATAAATAATTGCACAATATGTAAAGTAGCGTGCAGGAATTCATAAACACATAAACGTAAGAAAAAGATTCATTGTATTAATAATCTCGCATTTGATTAATAAATTTAAAATAATTTCAATTTATCAATTTCGTTTTTACTTGTCGAAAATATAATATTTTCTATTTCGTTTAACAACACAAGTATAATTCAAAGAGATAATTTATTTTAATCCATAAAAAATAATTGTAGACAATTTAATATAATATTAAAAACTCGATATGAAAATTGATATATATTTTCCAGTATTCAATTAAATAATTAACTCGTTATATAATTTAAAAAACTTATTTACATTTTATAAGAAATATAATTATACATGTTGCTATGTCATTATAAATATATAAATATTCAAATGTATAAATAATGTGTAATCAATATTACATCTTATAAAAAAAATTTATTATATAAAAAAATACATAATATGTACATATAAAAATATATATGTATATTTATGAAAGATAAAATATTGAAAATAATAAATGAATTTGATATTTCATCAAAAATTTACGAGCAACTATATAATTATTATATATGAGAAAAAATAGTAATAGTAATAATAATCATTTAAACAATAATAGAATATTGTCTGAATTCTGGAATTATAAGATTAGATATTTATTATTAAACTGCCCGTATTTATAAAAGATATATGACGTTTATAGGAAAAATATGTAAAAATGTATATAAAGAATATGTAAATATATATATATGTTTTACATTTATCCTTAATATTCGTCGTTTAAATTATTTTTTTATTAACTCGTTAAATGTTATATATGTCTATAAAAATATATTTTTTCATTTTTTCCCTGCATACACGTATTTTATGAATTAATAATACAATTCATATACAAGATATTTGTGGTATCGTGCTATATAGTACTAGCTATCATTTTCCTCATAAACAGAAGTGAATATTAGAAAAAAATGGAAAAGAAAAAAAATTTTATACAAGTCTCTTAGAATCAGTTTTTTTTATATTTGCAAAATTGTAATTTACAATATTTCAAAAATTGAAGATAATCTTTAATTTTTTCATTGGTACATCGTATTTTTTTTTATAAAATGTATGGCAAGTTAAATATATCCATGTTATAGAATGATTTTCAAAATTTTATAAGATCTGAATATTTTTGGATATTTTTTATTATCAAATTTATCTAGTTTTTATCATTTGAATGTAGGTATTCTATTCGAATATACATTTCTTGGTATGTAAATGTCAATTTTTTATTTCTATTAATAAAAATATTAATAAAAATTATTTCTTTCATTGAATTACGATTTCTAGAATATCATTAATTAGAATTATCAATTTATGAAAACAATATTAATATTATTATATTATTTTGTAATAATAAAAAAAGATAATTATTTTGATAATAAATAAATTATAATGAATAATCAAAATATCAAGAAATATTATAATATATTTGTAAACACATTACAATATTGACAAATATTTCTTTTATTTCTGACCTTATATAGTCTTGATTAACAAATAGTATATTCATCTCAGTACAGTCATTATATCATGTTACGATGTATTATTAAGAATAAATATATAAGGCATGTACATTATGCAAAAAATACAAAATAAAAAATATATTTTTAGAATTCTTTATTTTTAAAACTTATTTTCATTAAAATTCCACTATTTTAATAAAAAATATTCAACTGGTTTCTATAAAAAAATATACATCTCTATAAATATTCACAATCTATTTATCTGACTATTTATTAAAATTACACTACTAAATTAACAAATTAATGATAAAATAATTAATTAATTACATTATTATTATTATAATTATATTTTAAATCATATTAATTAGTGAAAATAAATATTGTTCTTTCAGATAAAATTAACATTTAAATAGAGATCTTTTAAGTCGTTATCATATATATCGCTACTATATTTCCTATAATCAAATATATCAGATGTACTAGTTATTATCTAAATTACAGTCATTATAGATAGTTTGCTGTATTAAAATAAACTTTCGCATTACTTTATTTTAATAAAATGAAAAAGTAATTTTTTTCATATTATTTTAATATCTTTTTATATATTTTTCAGATTCATTAAATTTGATTTTCTAATATAATTTAATTAATTCTTCTGTTTTCTAACCGAAAAAATATGAAAGAATATTAATAGTATTAATAATAATATTTAATAAATAACGATTCAAATATATTATATATATTTATATATTTAATATACATCGATTCCAAAACGAAATGATATGATATGAAAATAATATGCAATTGATGCACACTATTTATACCAAGATGAATATGTAAATTTTAGAAATGATAATTAAATACGATAATGATCTGAGGAAATAATGTTTACATATATGTATATCTTTACATTTTTCATATTGATTCACGAAGCTTATAATTTAATGCAATTATTAGTTAAAAAATATATAATAGAACATGATACATTTTGTAGTATTTATATAATTTCGTAGCTAATTTTTTTTTTTTTAAAAAATTCATCACTTGATCGATCTTTAACATTATATAAGTTAAAACTAAAAAAAAGAAAAAAGAAAAAATAAGAATGAAGAAAAAAGATATCGACTCGATAAGAATTCGAAGAAGCTCGGAGGATGTTTGTCAGGAAGACGACTTCGGATATTCTTAAAAGCATACTTAACACCTTGACTACAATATGGCCTGTTAAACAAACAAAAGACATTTATGACTAATTCTTTATGCTTATTTCAACATTCATCTTGACGAATGCAAATCACTGAAACTGTCATTTGTTAGGGATAGAGAGCCTATTTCCACATACTATGCATAATATAATAGTATCTACTTATCATAGATTATGGATTCTCAGAATCGCAACCCCTAAGAGATAGGTTTTTGTTTGTAACTATTTATGTTGAAAATTTTATAATAACAATTATCAATATTTATTTATATAGATAAATTTCAATTAGTACGAATAAATTCCATCAATTATTTAAATTCTCCTTATTTGAATATTTTGAAATGTGTTTTCAATTTGATTAAAATAGACAATGAATATTTATGAGGTGTATTTTTATATATTATATATATTATTTTTATATTTATATCTATTTTATACTTTTTATATATTATATTTATAAATTATAATAAAATATTACGTACAGAATCCAGTTTACACACAGTTTATAAAAAATATATAATATATAATTATAATAGTTTGTTTGTAATAGTTTAACTTAAATTATGAAAATTACTTGGAAGATTTTCAAGATTATTTTTTTAAAAATATTTATAATGTCAGTATTTTAATTTTTTATATATAGTAATAGTTAATAAATTATATATAGTAATAGAGTAATAAATTAACAATAAATATATCAATCTATTATCCATATTTAGATATTCAAACCATGAATTGATTTATTTGAATGATTTGATTTATATAAATGAAAGTAAATAAATATACCAAGTATCTATCTCATTGTAATTTATTATTAATTATTATCAAAATATCTGCATGTTTTTAATAATTGTAAAATAAAAAAATATAAAACTAATATTTTTTTAACAAATTTTATAATTTTACGAATGTTACAATATGACGTCCTTAATCAATAATTATATCTAAATATGATCTAAAAATAAAATATTTAATTTACTTGCATTTTTATAAATTCCGCTTAAATATCCTTATTATCGTGGAAAAATTTTTTTTGCTCTTGTTTTTTTTTAATTTTTTTTTCAAGATTATCATTATTTTTTATACAAGTTTTACACAAGAAACGTTTATTATTATTATTATTTTTTTTTTGTATCTTGTAGTAAACTAAAAAATATACCTGTATACACCTATATTTACACCTATACTACATAATGATCTTCAAATAAACTGAAACATTAAAAGATGAAAATATATATATATATATATACCTGTATATATCTGTATATACCTGTGTATACCAACATATACTTGCATAATGACCTTCAAATAAGCTTGAACATTAAAAGATGAAATTGTAATGAAATGAAAATTTATGGTTTATGTTATTAAGTGTTCGAAACCATATTTCTTGACAAACGACGTTTCTGATGCACTTTTGAAACATATTGTGATGCTCTTTCTATTGTTTCCGGACTAAAAGCACCATTATCCGGATTATCCTTTATTATATTGTTTCAAATGGTATCACATAAATTTCTTTCTATGGAAAACTTTCGAAAGCAATTTTTGGCATATCTTATTCTCAAATATATTGCCTCATAGAATTTTCTCTAACAAGACGATCGTAAATCATATCTCTGTCTTACATTATTATTCTTTATTTTTTATTTTTCGACTACGTGTATATTCATTGCAGTTAACCGCTTTCCAAGAATCTTATAATTACATTTGTATACAAAATAAATAATTCACATTTAAAAATTGAACTTTTTCTTCTTTAACATATCACATTTGAAAAATTATTTTAATTTTCAAATACATCAGATATAGAATTCTCGTTTTGTTTGAAACCTTTTTTTCAATAAATCAAAATCTCTAAATATTCGAAATATTCATCTCTTCTCTTCAGTTATCGAGATTATATATATATATATATATATATATATATATATATATATATATAATATATAATAAGAAGAA